TGTCTATAAGTAAAATAGAAAAAAAAGGTTGGGGATGTTGCTCAGTGGTTCAGTGCTCCTGGGTTCAATTCCTGGTACTATCACTAGTACTACTACTACTACTACTACTAATGTCTGTTCACTCCTTGCCCATTTTTCAGTCCAGTTAGTTATGTTCTTGCAGTCGGGGTGTTAGAGCCCCTGTTGTATTTTGGATGTTACGCCCTTATCAGATGTATGGTTTGCAAACATTTTCTCCCTTTCTGTGAGTTGTTTCCTGTTTTCTTGGCTGTGCTGAAGCTTTTTAGCTGGATACAGTCCCACAGTCTAGTTTCGTTTTTCTTGCTTGTGCTTTTAGGGTCATCTCCTTAAACACTGTTACTCAGCAAATGTCCTGGAGCTTTCTCTGTTTTTTTTTTTTTATAATTTTTTTTCCTAGAAGTTCCATAACAACAGGTCTTATATCCATTTTGAGCTTATTTTTATTTATGACGTTAGATAAAGATCCAATTTTATTCTTTTACGTGTGGGTAATCAGTTTTCCCAGCACCATTTATTGAAGAGACTATCCTTTCTATATTGTGTGCTCTTGGCATCTTTTCTGAAAATCATTTCACCATAAACGTGTGGGTTTATTTCTTGGCTTCCTGTCCTGTTCCATTGGTCCATTTATCTGTTGTTTAGGCCAGTGCCCTATTGTTTTGATGATTATCCCTCTATAATATGTTTGAAATCCAAGAATGCGTCTCTAGCTTTGTTCTTTTGGGTCAAGATTGTTTTGGCCATTTGGGGTCTATGGTGATTCTATATGAGTTTAAGGGTTGGTTTTCTATGTTTATGGAAAAGTGGCATTTGGATTTTGATGCGCGTGCATTTGGAAATCTACCCATGTTGCCTATAAGAGACTTAACTTCTAGGAAGGAGACACATAGACCAAAAGAGAAGGAATGGAAAAATAAATTCCATCCAAATAGAAATCCAAAGAAAGAAAGCAGGGGTTGCTATGCCGATATCAGACAAAGCAGGCTTTAAATTTATTGGATCATATTTTTCCTCATTCATTAATCGTCTCTGTTTTTTTTAGAATTTAGTCCATTTATATTTAAGGCAATCATTGATAGGTAAGGACACACTACTGCCATTTTGTAATTCATTTTTCACGTTTTGTGGGCCTATTGTTTCTCTCTTCCTTATTTATGTTTTGTCTGTTTCCTGTGGTGTGGTGCTGAGAATCCTTAATTTTTACAGTGTGTGTGACTTCTCATTTTTGTTTTTATGGATATCACAAACTCACCCTAAAAATTTTTAACTTTTAAACAA